TATGCAAACTTTCTTTCTCACAGGGCTACTCTCCTCAATGCTTTAAGACCGCTAAAGTAATACCAGTTTGCAAAAAGGAGACCGGTTAGATATAGTTAACAACCGCCCTGTGTCTCTTCTCTCGCCTATTTCAAAAATTATAGATCAATTGATGTGCCAGAGGTTAGAATCTTTCATACAGTTTAAAAATATTATTCATAAAAGTCAGTATGGATTTCGAGCAGACCATTCAACGGAGCTTGCTATAGTAGAATTTTCACAGAGAGTGATGGAAAAATTGAATGAAAAGATCTTCACATTAGGAATCTTTATAGATCTATCAAAGGCATTTGATCTAATAAACCATGAAAAACGGTTAAGAAAACTCTATTCATATGGTATAAGGAGTAGCATATACATGATTTTCCTCTTACCTTGGAGAAAGAAAACAATATGTCTCAATCGAAACCTATGAATCAGAAAAGCTACTGATTAACTGCGGAGTCTCACAAGGCTCTATATTAGGACCAATACTTTTTACCTTATTTATAAATGATTTATGCCACATAACTACATCAACTAAATTTTTATTATTTGCCGATGACACGACTATATACTTTCACACTAAAGAACCTAACAAAGATTTAAATTCTATCAACAATGAAATTCAATCCATCGCCAATTGGTTTACCTTTAATGATTTAATAATAAACTATACAAAGTGCACATATATGATATTTGGACCAAGAATACTAACCAATTGTATCACAGACTTAAATATACAAATCAATGGTAATCCTATACATCGATCGAGCTCAACAAAATTTTTAGGTATCTTCATCAACGATAACTTATCCTGGGACTCGCACACTAATTTTATCTCCAAAAAATAAATAAAACAATAGGTATATTATATAAAAATAAAATAACAAAAAAATGTTGTATTAGAATTATATTATACCCTTATTTACCCAAACCTAACGTATTGTAATTTGCTGTGGGGAAACAGTCCAAATTTACACGTGCAACATATTTCCGTTAGCCAAAACCGTTTCATTCGTCTCTTTTTCAATTTTCATCCTCGCTGCCATATTTCTAATTATTACAATATTTTACAAATTTTGAATGTTAATATCCACTTGTATACCTTAGCTTTTTTTTAACTGTGAACTCCCGTTGTTTTTTAAACATTTCTTCAACTTAAGAAGCTCGATCCAAACTAAAGTATTAAGGAATGCATCAACCATTTATCCCAGTTAATCTAGGCTGAAAATAATAAATAACAGCTTAAAAATTTCTGGTCTAAAAGTTTGGGATGAAATTATTAACACAGAAATTAAAAATATATGTCAAAAACATTTATTTAAAAACAAAGTCAAAAAATTTTTGATTGAGCAAAATACTTTGTTTTTAACTTGATATCAAAAAGACAATCATGTATGTATGTGTGTGTATGCGTGGGTGAGTGTGTGTGTCAGGTGTGTGTTGGGTGTGTTTGTGTTTGTATGTATCATAGTCACCTTTTCTTGAACAACATTTATTTACATTTATTATTTACTGGAACCAGAATTTCTTATCATTTGGCTAACTAACAATAAAATTCCATGGCGCACAAGATCAACACGCAAGGCTCCGAACCGATTCGACAAGGTCCGCGACGCCTTCCCCTGTCCAAACAAACAGAGGTAACCAAGATGATAACAGATATGCGAAAGCAAGGAATCGTCGAGCCATCAGCAAGTCCCTGGACTTTGCCAGTGGTGTTAGTCAAGAAGAAAGACAGCAGTAGCCGGTTTTGCGTGGACTATAGGAAGTTGAACGAGGTGATCAAGAAAGACAGTTATCCGTTACCGAGGATTGACGACATTATGGACCCGTTGTCTGGCTCACGTTGGTTTTCTACCCTGGACTTAAAAAGTGGCTACTGGCAGGTAGAGATCGAGAAAGCCGATCGTGAGAAAACCGCGTTCTCAATTCTTGATAAGTTTATTCCTCTTAAATCTTTTATTTATAGGCTCTATTTTCGTAAGGCTCCTTGGTTTGATTATGCTTGTGTAGTTGCCAAGAAAAGTGTTAGAAGACTGGAGAAAGCCTATAGGCTAAATTCATCTAACTCTCTTTATTCTATCTATAAATCTGAATTGATTAATTATAAGTATCTACAATTCTCTAAGCACTCTACTTTTCTTAGAAATTCTATAACATCTGCTTCAACATCTAAAAATAGGTGGTCTGTTCTATCTAAACTTCTACATAAAAAATCCTCTCACTCATTTTTTCTGCTCAACAGTTTCATGACTTTTTTGTAAATAAAATTATTTCTTTAAGAACATCTAATTCTAATTTTTCTTCTCATAACTTTACTAAACTTACTGCTGAATCTTTTTCTGTATTTACTCCAATAAACCTTTTAGAACTAACTAAAATTATTAATTCTATGTCGTCTACAACTTGTTCTCTAGATCTACTTCCTTCTAATTTACTTAAAGAATTTTCTTCAATATTTTATCCAATCAGTCTCAAATTAGTTAATTTATCTCTTTCCACCTCTAAATTTTTTCTTCTTATAAGAATTCTATTGTTATTCCTATTCTTAAATCTTAAAACCTCATCCTTTGAACGACTGATTGAATCTGTGCTCTGGGGGCACACCTGGAAAACCTGCTTGGGCTACCTGGACAATATCATAGTTCTGGGACAGACCCTCAAACTTCGCAAACCTGCAAAAAATTGTCAACAGATTACGGGCAGCAAACTTGAAGCTTAACACAAAGAAGTGTAGTCTGTTTGCTAACCGAATCAATTACTTGGGACACGTGGTATCTGCCGAAGAAGTAACAACCGACCCAAGCAAATTCAAGATGATGAAAGAATGGCCGGTTCCCAAGGGCAAGCACGAAGTACGTTCCTTTTTGGGGCTAGCCACCTACTACCGACGCTTCGTGAAAGACTTCGCTTCGATAGCAAAGCTCTTTCATGAACCAACAGAAAAAAATCAAACATTTGACTAGAACGATTCCGCAGCAGCAGCATTTTTTCGGCTAAAAAAACAACTATGCATCACCCACGTTTTCTTCTACTCTATACACAAAAAACCTTCCTTCTCGATACGGATGCTAGCAATCATGGGATAAGCGCCGAATTATCACAGGATGTTGATGGAGAGGAGAAGGCTTACTACAGCCGGAAGCTCTCGAAGACCGAACGCAACTACTGCGTCACCAGGAAAAAATTATTAGCCAATGTGTGTGCGACGAAATATTTTAACAAATATTTGTATGGCCAAGAGTTCGTCTTCCGCAGAGACCACGCGGCTCTTCAAGGAACTTCAAGAAACCAGAAGGAAAGATGGCACGGTGGCTGGAACGCTTACATATTTATAATTATCAGGTTAAACACCGCAAGGTGAGTAGTCGAGTAGTCATGGCAATGCCGATGCTCTATCCCGTCCCACCGAACTGCAAATATTGTTGCCAAATGGAAGAGACAACCAGAGGGGGTTAAAATCAATTTGCCTCGCATCAGAGAGCGGATAGGCACCGGAGAATTAGCTGCCGCTCAACGCGCCGACAAAAACTTACGGTGCATCATAGAATGGAAAAAAGCTGGACCGAGGCCGAAGTGGCAAGACGTGGCAGACCACGGCTTCGTATCAAAAGAATACTGGGCCCAATGGGATTCCATGTGCATAGAAAACGTAATACTGAAGCGCAAGTGGGAATTCGCCAACGAGACCAAACCCACCATAGAGATAATAGTCCCTAGAAGCAAAACAAAGGACGTCCTAAAAGAGATGCATGGACGGTTGACCGGAGGACACTTAGAAGTAAGTAAAACTTTGGACAGGATACGGAAAAGATTCGTTGGGTTCGGGCTCGATAGGACGTCAAAGTATTGTGCCAAACCCAGTGCCACCTGCGCGGCGGTTAAAGGACCCAAACAAAGATCCAGAAGTCCATTCCATGTTTACAACGTGGGTGCGCCGTTTGAACGAATTGCTATGACATCGCTGGCCCCTACCCAGAAACAGTAAAAAGCAACTGGTATATGTTGGTTGTCGCAGACTACTCTAGTAAATGGCCGGCAGTTTACCCAATACCTAACCAGGAGGTTCAAACGTTGCGGAAGAAATTGTAACACACTGGATTGCCCAATACGGGGTTCCTCTAGAACTACACTCGGACCAGGGCAAAAATTTTGAATTGCAGCTGGTCGGGAAACTGTGCCGGATCAATAAAACAAAGACGACACCACTTTACCCACGATCTGATGGAATGGTGACCCGGTTCAATCAGACAATCATTCACCACTTAGCTGAAGTGGTCGATGACAATCAACAGGACTGGGATAAGCAGATACCTCTATTTCTGATGGCATACCGGAGTGCCGTCCATGCAACAACAAACGAGACCCTCTCAAAGATTTTATATAAAGACACAATAAAAACCCCCGCGGATGTGAAGTACGGGATCCAAGTACATGGAAGAACTCCGCCAGCGGATGGACTATGTCCATAGAAACACGCAAGCCAGGCAGGACGAATCAGAATACGGAAAAAACCAAACTTAAATACAAAGTAAAAGGCAAAAACGAAACGCAATGACATTATGTGGTTATACAACACACGACGCAAAAAGTGGCGCTGCCCAAAGTTCCAGAGAAATTTGGAGAAGCCATACAAAGTCATCACTCTGATCAACGACGTGGTGCATCGAATTTAAGAACAAATTTAAGACCAAAATGAAAATTGTACATCTGAATTGGCTAGCCTTCTACTCAGAACCAAAAGATCAACACAGCAAAAACAAGCCGGTGATACGAATTATGCTCTGGTTGTCAGCAGGATACGACTAAAGCCAAAAAAGTTGCATCATTCTAAAACGAAGAGACGCCAATGCATTGATACTAATTTTATTAACAATTTCAAAAAATGCAACATTTCATCAGAGATTTAAACGACGCCTTGAAGAGGTTTGTGGTGATAAATGATACAGTAGATTCAAGTCGGTCACGTCTTCGCGATGCCGTCTACCGGCTCCGCCATTGCTGCCTACGGAGGGAAGGAAAATAAGAATGCCGATTGGATTTTAGCTTATTGGGACAAAATAAAGCTTATGATCGGAGTCAAAAGAAAAGCTTTGATTGCTGACATAACAAAGCCTAGTTAAAAAATCCGCTTTAAACGCTGCTAAGAACCAAGTCCAACAGACAGCCCGTCAATATGCCAACACTTACTGAAGGGATCTTTGCAACAGTATTCAACAGTAAACAAAAGAGGTATGTATGATGGTATTAAAAGAGCAATAAGCCCAATTCCTGCCAAGTCAGTTTCCGTCATGTCAAAAACCGGTATGACTATAATCGATCGTGCTATGCAAATGCAGCGTGGAAGGAACACTTTTTTTGTACTGTACGCGGTCGCAAATGTCGTGACTGACACCGCTTTCAACTCCATCTTAGAGCTTCCTGCCATGGTGGAGCTGGATTACGTGCCTACTGAAGAAAAGCTCAGCAAAGCAATCGACCGCCTAATTAGTGAAAAGCTCCTAAAGATGATGGTATCCCTTCGGTAGTCTTAAAGAATGAGAAAGTGCCTCTTTTGAGGCCATGCGTTGCTCAGTTTTTGTTAGAGAAAGGTCACATCTATTAAGATATGAAAGACGCAAACATTATCACGCTGTACTAAAACAAAGGCAACCATGGTGTATGCAACAGCTATTGAAGAATCTCTTTCCTTAGTGTTGTTGGTGAAGTGTTTGCTTGTGTACAGTTCTTTGTTTCACACTTTTCTCTGGACTCCCAATGCGGTTTCAGAGCTAGAAAATTAACGGTTGACATAATTTTCTCGCTGCGGTGCTTGCAAGAAATGTGTCGAGAAAGACAGATGCTACGCTACATCGCCATCATTGACCTTATTAACGGTCAATCGAAACGGATTGTTTAGTTTGTTACAAAAAGTTGGCTATCCTCCGCAACTAAATACGGTGATTATGTCCTTCCACAATTCTGTGCGTATTACAGTCTATCACAATTCTGAAACATAAAAGGCTTCTCTATGTTTCTTCAACAAGCTTTCAGGAACTGTGGAGAGGCTGTGTAAACCCATCCCAGGTCGGGTAGCAAACTATACAATTTGGCTCGTTTAAGTGGCAAAACTAAAGCCACCAGGGTACTCATTCGTGAAAAGCTTTTTGCCAAAAACGCTTGCCTAAGAGTCGCACACTGATGACAGATTTTAGTGCCTTATTACCAGTTTTTCTCAGACATGTAAAAAATTGGAATTAACCATAAGCCTGAAAAAAACAAATGTAATGACTCATGGCGTGCAGACTCTTACTAAAATCACCATTGATGGACATACACTGGAGGTTGTTAAGAACTTTATCGACCATTTCCAGTTTTCTGTCCTTAGATAGTGAAGTCAACAGCAGGATCGCCAGCGCGACCAAACTAAATCAACAAGTATGAAACAACTTCAGTTTAACTGGAAAAACTAGATTATGTGTTTACCAAGTTTGTGCGCTTAGCACTCTTCTATATGGTTGTGCGTGCATTTTGCCTGTGCGAAACATGAGAAACATTCAGATGGCTTGGCCATGTTTGGAGGATGGATAACGGTCGTATCCAAAAAATCTCAAGTACGGTGAATTGGTAGAGGGGTGTAGAACAACAGGGCGCCTAAGGCCTCGGTTCCATGACATCTGCAAGTGGGATATGAAAAGCTGCTCTATTGATTTTCGATTTTGTGAGAGCATAGCAGTCATCGCTGTCTGGAGAATGTCATTAAAACAGGGTGCATTGCATGTGGAGATTGAGTGAAACTGGAAGGCAGCTCTGAAAAAATCCAGGCGGAAGCAGCGTCAAAATCAACTGTAATTTTAACTTTAGTTATAGCTTCAACATCGTCTCTCGAGACGGAAGGATGCCAACGATATCTTTTTTATTTATTTCCATTGTCTGTTGTTTCCAGCCAAAGATGCTAAAACGAATTGTCGCCATCCGTTTCTGTTTTTCGCAATCTCTTCTAGTGTAACTGTAGTTTTTTTAGTAGTTATCCTGTGTGATTATAGCTCAGCTCATTCCAAATCTTGACAAAAACAATCTTCACAAATTTGACGCAACTTTACGTCAGTCTTTGATGTTTGCTTTGCTGACTCGAATGTAAGACTGTAGACAACTGTCTTTGTCGTTTGTCCACTAGTATGAGGGTTTGTCTAAATTTGTCTAATTTCGAACAACTTTAGCAAACGTTTTCAATGCAGTTTTTTCTCTGTGTTGTGAGTCGTACGTAGGATATAACAGCAGTCAACCGTTCAATATCCTGTGCCAACTGCTATATTAACTCTTCAGGTCGCTGGGTCCAATTTCGTAACTGGGCCAATTGCTGTTCAGCTTTGACGTCAAATTGTTCTTTGAGTTCTCTCAACTATCGTATTTTTTTGGATTTAATCGCGGCCGACTGTTGTTCGCTTTTGGCGTCAATTTGTTCTTTCGTCTGTTTTATTTTTGTTTAATTTTTACATCAATTTGATCTCTCATCTGTTTTATTTCTGCTGATTGTTCAATTTTTGCATCAATTTAATCTCTCGTCTGTTCAATTTTGCCGAGATTGTTAGAAGTAGTACCATCAATTTGGTGTTTGCCTCACGTTTACAACTGCATTTCATTTGACAAACTCAAATTCATCTGGATTTTTTTTTTTCATTAACAAAGGCTTCCGTTAGGCGTGCTATCAATGCTCCTGTTTCCACTTGTAGCGGATTTCGTTTATGCAACACTTCTTTGAGTTGCACCAATTTAATTTAATGTAGTTTGGTAATGTTGTTTATCAAAATAACCTCTCGACGAAAAAAATTAAAATTTTTAAGATCGATGCTCACTTATTTTCCACCGAAGATCCCAACAACTAAACTATCGTTTAGTTAACAAATTGATTATCAATGTTAATCAATTATTCAATAATCAACGTTAATTAATTTTACTAATAAAAGTTAATGTTTACAAACTAACAAATTAACGTTCAACGTTCAGAAACTATCGCTTTCCGAATAACAATTTACTAACGTTTATCGCAAATACAATTAAAACACAACGAAGAGTCAAATATCAAATATCGCTTTCGACACTAATGAATCTATCGTTTTCCATTTCCAAATATTGAACAACCTCTATTCAATATCTCGCACGTCTTTACATACCCATCTTACCTACGCCTCACGATGTCCTATATATCTCGCTCTCAGAAGATACTAGCTCCTCGAACCGCGTGCCTTCGTAGCAACACTAGTGCCTCTGGCAAATATATTTGTGACGGTTATAACAATATTATATATATATATATATATATAATTATAACATGTTAACGCTTAAATATTAAATATTACCATTTAGCGAGCATACATGTATGTGTATGTATTTTGTGGTTGTATGTTTATATGTGTAGGTGTATGCGTGTATAAATTGTATGTATGTTTGTGCGTGCATACACGTAGTATGCAAATAATATCTAAACAAATATTAGAATAACTGTACACGTTGACCCTCCATAATATATAAGTAACACTCATTAGATTATTATATCTCGTACAACAATACTACAACATATAAATACAATATAAGCTTTGACGCCAATGGTTTTTCAAATGGTTTTAATTTAAATTAAATTAAATTTATATTTTTAATTTAAGTTAAGTTAAACAATTACGTCACGTTGAATCTTGTGTTGAAAAACTTTGGAATGAGCAATAGGCATTTATTTTCAACAACATATTCCTTTATATATATATATATATATATATATATATATATCGTTATGTTTTCGGTCAAAATGGCAGAAAATTGAATTCTGAACGATTTACTTTGTTATTTATGAAACTGTTTTGGAAACTTTGATAATAGCATGTTGAAAGTTGCGCTAATGAAGTTTTATAAAGTTGAAGACATTAGTAAAAATGTTTTGTTAAGAGAAGCGGAAAAATTGTCATTTAAACTGTCAAACTTTTCTAAAAATTCTGACTGAAAAAAAACAGTTCACAAAATTTCTTGGTACTGTCAAACATATTTTTGATAGCGATATGAAAAATAAATGTTTAACATATTACAAAAGGATGTCAGAGCGACAAATTTTCGATGATATTACAAGCCAAAATTCAAGCGACATGAAACCGGCCACGAACATTTACTGGTGCACATTCAAAAAATGTTTAACAACTGGCAAAAACACACAATGAATATAATGTGAAGAAAAAAATTAAAATTTGCTAATTGATGTTCAAAACAGTGTAAATCAGTTAGCTGGCACATGCGGTGAATAATGTTTCAACTCTTTCTGAAGAGAATGATAAAATACCCAGGGCTATCGAGAGTGTCTAAAAATAAATTTAGTTCGTAAAGACATTGTTGATGATTTGGTTAAAAATAGTGAAGATATATTAGAATCTCAAAATTTCTTCTTGGTAAAGCACATAAAAGGCAACCGTACAATACAAAATGATATAAGCGATATTGCGTTTAAAGCAGTTCTTGGTTCTCGTGCACATGCTGAGTCATGAATTACAGCAAGTAAAATTATCCATAAAAAAAACATATCATGTTGGAAATGTGTCAAAATGTTCTGCGGCTGATGTTGTTGACCACTTCATGTTGATAAACGTTTGTGTTATTTGGTGTTACCCTACATGAAAGAAAAAAAAAAGAAAAATCTAATGACTCACTAAATTCTTCTGATTGTGTGTTGATGCCAAATTCTCTAATGTGATTACCAAAGGAAGTTTCTCACTTGAAAATGTGCTAATAAGGGGTGGTCATTCAACAGTCGTGTCTTTGTTTCATTGTTGACCTATACAAGTTTTCTTTTTTTCTTTGTTGACGTTATCGTATTATCGCTCGAAAAAATTCGAAAACCAAAAAATTTAATTTAATTCAATTATCTATTTGTTTTTTTGTAGTAAATATATCACAATTAATAGTAGTTAATTAATTGCAGGTGATGGATAAAAAGAAAAAGCCGAAAGATTCTGTTTCAGAACCGACCAACAACGACTTAATAGGGTTTTAAAGCTATACGAAGAATGCATTCAATGTAATAGAGAAAAGCTGCAAATATTGGTTGGAAAAGAAGTCAGCCAGTGTGGTTTTTGGACCTTCAATGGAAGTTTTCAAAAGCGAATTGCTAGACACTACACATTCCTTGATGTCGAGAATGGAGATTCTTGAAAAGGCCATATATGTACAAAATGAAGAATAGTCAATTTTAAGAAAAAGAATGGAAGATATATCTATGGCTTCTATAAAGCAGTTGGAAGATAATAAGAAAATAACTAGAACAACTGTTAACAAGTGTTAATAAAATACTCTGATGTTGTAAAAGGGTCGACAGTTTTGCAACTGACGTTAAAATGATTAAAAAATCCATTTTAGATACAACTACCCAAATGGATTTTAACAACGATAGAGAAAAAAAACAATATAATTTTATATAATTTAGATGAAAAAGAAAACAATCCCAAGATATTAGTTGGCAAGCTGTTGAAAGAAATTGCTGATAAGATTCTGAATCAGGGGTAGTTGAAGTATCTAAGTTGGGGAGAAAGTTAGATGAGGTTAAACCAAGGCCAGTTTTAGTACAACCAGCATGTTCAACTAACAAGAATTTGTTGCTTGCAAACTGCTTGAAACTGAGGAATTCAACAAATTTTAACAAGGTTATAATAAAACATGATCTATCTAAAGATGACAAAAAACATTAATAAAAAGATTCTTGAGGAGAAAAAAGAAAAATTGCTGCTAAAGAAGATGTCACAAAGTGGACTTTCAGATTAAAAGGTAAACCAGGTGACTTCCATGTGGTTGCTTATGGAAACAACAATTTAAGCATTATTATGTCAAATGTTGATTCTTTGTTTAATAAGTTCGAGAATATGAAAATATTTTTGCAGAGTTTGGAAGTTGGAAGTTGCACCGGATTTGATTACTTTGATCAAAGTCAACCCAAAAAACTTTAGAAATTGTAGAGTTTTGTCTGAAATAAATTTGAATGGATACTCTATTATATCTTCAGGTTTTAGTGAAGTCAACAAAAGAGGTTCGGTGTTGTATCATAAAAATTCACTAGTTGTTTCTGAAGTAGCCATGAAATCAAATTTTCAAGAGCATATTTCTATTAAACTTATATTTTCCAATAAAGTTTTAAATATTGTTTTTATTTACAGAAGTCCAACGTCTGATGAAATAAATAATAAATTTTTTTATCATTGTTGAGTGATGGTCTTTCATTAACCGATGATTTCCTAATGTTGGGTGATTTTAATTTTCCAGAGATAGATTGGGAGACATTCGGTTGCAGAGGAAAAGATGAAAAAATTGAAAATGAATTTTTGAACATTCTGAAAGACAGATTCTTAATTCAAAATATTAACCATCCAACAAGATTCCGAGATGGAGAGGTAGCAAACATCCTAGATCTAGTAAAATCATCAAATGAGCTTATCAAAACATTTTGTATCATTCACCTTTTGGTAATAGTGACCACTCTATTGTCAAATTCAAAATAACTGATCCATTTATAGATATAGTGATATCAGATTGAAATTTTACCGTGCAATTAGGGAAAAAATAAAAAAATACACCAATGAATTAAAAAAGCAATCTCAGGATAGAATTGCCAGAAGTTACAAAAATAATCCAATCTTATTTTGGAAAAATATAAAAAAAAGTCACCAGACATGTTGGGTCGGTGAGTTCATTGTCGGTGGGCGGAAAAATAGTTACCAATACTGAGGAAAAGGCTGAAGCATTTGTAGATTTTTTTCTTCGTTTTATGAAGGGAATTGTATTTTGTAGACCAAAACTTTCCGGTAGTTGATTGAATAATGGAAAATTTGAAAATAATTTAAAAAATGGTAGCAGACAAACTGAAGAAATTAAATACTAGTAAATCAGCGAGTCCAGATTTGATCCATCCAAGAATTTTAGGGAAAATGCGTGATTTAGTTGACACTCATTTAAGCCATATTTTTCAATGAGGGTATGGTTTTCGATGACTGGAGGCAAAGTCATGTGATCCCGTTGCATAAGAAAAGTAGAAAGGATCTAGCTCAGAATTACCGTCCAGTGGCGTTAACGTCAATTTGTTGTAAGGTCTTGGAGAGGCTGATATTATGAAATACTTCATGGAAATAATCTCTTTTCAAAGAGTCAGTTTGGTTTCATTCTTGGACGCTTCGCGGTTTTGCAGCTCTTGAAATTTACGAAAGAGGTGGTTGAGGGAGTAGATCATGGTTACGAAGTCCGTAGTCTACATGGATCTAGAAAAAGCGTTTGACAAAGTTTCTCATAAACGTCTGTTGTTCAAGTTGGGTCGGTATGGAATAAATGGTTAGATAACAAAATAGATTGAGAACTATCTCAGCAACAGAACATTCCAGGTAAAATTAAAAGATATATTATCTGAGCCAAGAACATTTCTGAGTGGAGTTCCTCAGGGTGGGGTTTTGAGCCCTCTATTGTTTATTATTTATGTTAATGATATTTTCTCAGTATGTGATAATATCTTGCTTTTTGCCAATGACTAAAAATCTGAGTACTGAAAACTGAGGAGGACAATCGCAGTTTTTTGCAAGATATTAAAAAACTACTAACTTGGTTTGAGGAATAGAAATTGAAAATAAATACCGATAAATGCCAGCTGATAAGAATTGGTTCCCGTCAACCGAGTCCTTTATACACTATAATGGATGATGATAATTCACCGTTTCGTCTTCCTGATGTTGATGAGTTATCGGATCTTGGAATAGTTGTTGACAATAAATTGAAGAAATGATGTATTGAAAATAGAACACAAAGCAAATTCAATGTTAAGCTCAATTCAATGTTATTCAATGTTGCCAGAAATTTTAAGGGCCTTTCAAACGAAGCATTTTTACTTTTGTTCAAATCATTGGTCAGGTCGCACTTTGAATATGGAGTTCAAGTATGGAATCCGTATAGAGTTGGGTTAATAGACGATGTGGAAAAGGTTCAAATAAGAGCAACTTGTTTGATAACATTTTGTAGAAATCTCTTTTACGAAAAAATCTCTCTTTTGGGGTCTTGTGGCCGAGTGGTTAGCGTGTCCGTCTACCACTCCTACGACCCGGGTTCGAATCCTGTAGTTTCTACAAGTTCATCCGGGTAGCCGACACCCGGCCAACCCAGCCGTCCATCCTTTTCGAGGCTGGTAAATGGGTAGACAACGTAGCGTAACACCCTGACGTAAGTTGTCGCATGTTGGCCGGCGAGGTGGCTCAGTGGTTCAAATACTCGCTGAGTCAAACATCTCAATGGCTATCATATACTCAGCGTATATGCGGTGCCTGTGCGTGCACATAAAATATATGTGTACGTCGTGTGAAAAGAATAAACAGCCTTTGTGGCGAAAGATGAATGCTTCAAATCAATGGTTGAAGATATGGATTTCATATGAGATTGTTTGAGTGTCATATTGTAATCACGAAATTAAAAAGCATAAAAGAAAACGATAATAACGTTGCATTGCTAGCATGGCGATCGATCAAACAATCAATCAATCAACAATCAATTAATCAAACCTTTTATTCAACAGCAATGTACAATCCATGCACACAAACACGAACCAAAAAACCATTCCACACAATTTAAAAGTCATATAGAAATGACAATTCAAGTAGTATAATGATAAGTTAGAGTCAAAATGTTAGCCCATGCATCTCCCGAGCAAAACCTACATCCCCTAAGCGCAGACATAGGAAAGAGAAAAAAAATCAATATTCACACAATAGTTAAGAATTGGGTGAGATCTACTAAAGTTATTTTGTTTTTGAAAATTAAATATGTTGGTGACGAAGCAAATCCATATCCAACAGATCCATATTTGAACAATTCTGCTACCAAAAAAGTATCTAGATGTGTTGCTGTCAGAGTTAGATTCACGTAGTCTGTAAGGATGTCTACGAGTTGATTGGTAGGACAAGGGAGATCATTCAAATCAATGCTGATAACGTTGTTTAATATTTTGTACACAAAACATAGGTCCGAAATTGGTCTGCGATGTTCTAACGTTTGTAATCCCACTAAGCACAGACGAGTTGTGTACGGAAAATGACGAACTGAAAGAATGAACTTTGTGAATCTCCTTTGCACACTTTTTATTATTGTCAGTTGGTATTTGTAGCGAGGATTTCAGACGGACGAGCAATATTCTAATAATGGTCGAACGTATGTGCAAAAAGCTTTGGTGAGAAGGTTTTTATTTCTTAAAGTAAAACATTAGAAACTAGTCACTTGAGAAACTAGTCACTGGTATTGAACGGAAAAGTTTATTTTGAATCTGGACTTTTTGTGAACGCTCATGCAGGAATTCAGTCAACCAGTCCAGTAAATTTCCAGTTATGCCGTAAGCTTTTAGTTTACGAGCAAGCTTGGCATGAGAAGCAGAGTCAAATGCTTTCTAAAAATCAAGGCAGATTATATCACAGCTTTCCTTTTGTTGACGAATAAGCAATGAATCTTTAAGAAATCTAATAAAGTTGGTAAATGTCGATTTACTCCGAAGAAAACCGTGTTGAGAATTAGTAATTAAGTTATTGTCTAACAAATACGATAATAAATTTCTATTAACAATTTTTTCTATGACACGGCATGAGGAACAGGTAAGAGATATCGGTCTATAATTGCGGTCAAAAATTGGACTTTTTTGATGTACTGGAATGATGATTGCAGTCTTCTATTTAGATGGTACTGAATTATCTTTAAAAAATGAGTTAAAGATGTGGCATAGTGGAACAGCTAGACTAGAAGAACACATTTTGAGTAGAATGTTAGGTATTCCATCGGATCCCAAAGTTGTTCTTTTTAGCTTGCGAAGTGTTTGATAAACTATATCTGGAGTGAAATTAATATCATCTAATGATTTGTTAGTACGGCTGGATAGTGAACAAGTAATATTATAATCAGCAGTAAGAACAGTGGCAAAATAATCATTGAATGTATTTGCCATCATCACGGGATCACACGTCACATTGCTGCCGTCAATTCGCAAACTGAAAATCTGTTGTTTGTAGAATAGTCTGTTATTTAAGTACCGATAAAAACTTCGAACATTACCTGATGATAAAAATTGGCTTCACTGAACCTTTAATAGAAACTAGCCAAATTGCAATATCTTCGAGACATCATAGATAAAGAGTTTTGTCGTTTGAATTAGAGCTCTGTTTCCAGTTTTTCCAAAAGTAGAATTTGACTTTGTATGAAAATTGAAGTGGTTTAGGTATTCTATGCTTGGTTGCTGGACTTTTCTGATATTTTTTGGGCACAAAAATTGATATGGTTTGATTAATTATCTGTTCAAAGATTTTCCAGCACATATTGGTGTTGAAACAGTATTGAAAGTGATGATCCCAATCAATTAATGACAAATAATCATTAAAAAAATTGTAGTTAGCCCTGTAGAAATCGAGGAAGCAACTTTTGTTGTTAGGATTAACATCTTGCAATTTGTTGGTGAAGTTGTTGATTTGAAAAGTTTTACAGTTATGGTCACTTGATGCAAATGGAGCGATAACCTCCAGTTCAGCAAGAAAACCGTAATCCTCTGAAAGAACCAAGTCAAGAATATTACAACCTCCGGTACGTTGATCAACTAATTGATGTAAACCCAACTCATTGAAAAGTTGAATAAACAAATTATAAATGCGGTAGTAGCAGATGAACTTGCAATTTGTTGCTGACATAGAAACATCAATGCTATCTCAATGCTGAAATATTTTGTTGGTATTTTTACAACCTTGTATCGTACTGAATTTTTAACAATTAATGCCACTCCGCCATCACGTGGTCCACGATCCTTTCTAACAAAACAGAAACCTGGCGGCAAAAATAAATCATCATAATCATCCGGAGAATGCCACGTTTCTACAATAAAAAATGTCAGGATTATATTCTGTTAAAAACAAATTAAGGTCATTCTGTTTATTCTGTAGACTTCTAACTTGGCCAAGACCATTCAAAGAGGTGTGAATTTATTTGTTGAGACAAAAAAGGCTGATCATTATTCAATTTAGAAGATTTTTCACCGGTGGATTTGTTCAGCCTGTCTTTTAGAAAGATCATGATTGATGAAAACATTTTTGGTCTCAGGCGCTGAACGGAGAAGTCTGGATGAGGATACCATACCGTCAACTGTTTCAGGAGCTGAAAGAGTAACACAATTTTTTAACTACTAATTTGGTGGATTTTGATAATTTGCGGTTTAATCAACAGATGATTTTCACAAAGCGAAGTGACAATATCCTTATCACTGGTTCCAGGTTGTTGTTCAATGCCAGATGCCTGGCACGTCTTTCTTCATCATTTCTCTCCTGGTTCATCGCCCACAAGCCTCTTGTCACTGACTCAATCAATGGTGTTTCATTCTGCTTAAAAACTTGCTTCTGGCATTTTGATATGCTAGTACTCAACGTTGACAAGATGGCATGAATCTGACACATTGAGTTAGTCACGGCTTCAGACATGCTTTTGATTGCACGCTCAAAACTGTTGCCGAGGGCTTTCATTCTAATAAGTGTTGTTTCAAATAACTTGCTCATCAACCCCTCAGAATGATCCAGTGACCTACGGAAATTGTTGTTTGACTTCTCAACTACTTGTTTCTTATTTGAGTAAAATTTCACAAACAAATTTTCAAGGTTGTTGTTAGAAAAGGAGATAACTTTTTCAACATTCTTGCTGAATTTTTCAGAGAGCCTGTCAATGAGTTTCAACATGTTTTCGCTACATTTTTCCATGACTTTGGTTATCACAATTTCCAACTATTCAGCAGTTAAAGAAACCATTATTACAGGAATCCGTTTCACAAATTGAAACTAGCTTGCTGGCAAATTCGGAGATAGGTACACCTAACGGATTACGTTAAATTAATAAACGTACGCTTAACAAAATGTTTGAAAAACAAATTTCTATTATTTGGAACTAATTAAAACATAAACTGTTAGAATTACAAGTGAAAACGACACGTTTTAACTCGGCAACGTAAAATAATTTTCGAGAAAATTTGTTTACAACCGTAAAACCAATGCTAAATTTCTTGTCACGTAGATCGTTTAATTAATTGATATAATACTGAAAGACATTAAAAGAGAAACAAACTAAGCAACGTTCTTGACTTGTTTATTATCAACCGGACCAACAGAAAAGGAAAAAGTGAAGTTACATACAAAGCAAAGAACATTTGGTCCAAAGAAAATAAATGTATATCATAAATCATGTTTTAATATAAAACATAAAACTTAACATCTTCTCATTTTATTTAAAACATTAGATGACATTAACCTAAATGTTCTGAAGAACTATCGCACACATCAGATTCTTTAGTCTTGGTCCTACCATTGGTTTTGTCAACTTGAAGTTCTGTCGCAACTCGTTCAACTGAAACTTCTTCTTCCGCAACTTTTTCTCTGACAAAGAAATGTCTAAGTGGATATGCTTTGTTCTTCTGTGAAGTTCTGGATTGAGTGCTAAACGAATTGCTGCTTCATTGTCGACAAAAATTTCTGGCTTTTTCTTTAGATCTACAATGTCGTTCAATAATCGTTTGAGCCAAATCACTTCACGAGCTGCTTCACTTGCGGCAACGATTTCTGCTTCAGTAGTTGAAATCGCAACTTAGGGTTGACGTTGGCTAAACCAACTGATCACGCTTCCTCCAAACATACAGATTACACCTGATGTTGATCTTCCACTAGATTTATCTCCTCCATGATCTGCATCACTGTAGGCTATAAGTGTATTGTTTTGACCAGACTTGTAAACAATACCGACATCAGCTGTGCCTTGCAAATATCTGAAAATTTGTTTGACTTGTGCTACATTGGACTTGCTGGGTTTCTTCAAACTTCTGGATGCTACTCCAACTGCATATGCAATATCTGGTCTTGTTCCCGTCATCAAGTACATCAATGCACCAACTGCTGATCTGTAGGGAAATTTCACTTCCTCGTGTTCATTTTTGTTTTCATCGAACTCCTCAGATTTTGAAATCGGAGTTGTAAAGGATTTACACTGACTCATCCAAAATTTTTCAAGAATCATTCTTGTATACGATGACTGACTGACTTTAATATTTCCCTTCTCATCTTGATTAATCTCTAATCCAAGGAAATATGTTGCAGGTTTAGATGTTATCTTGAACTCTGACTTTAATTCTTTTTCAAATATTTTCAGTTCTTCTTTATCGATACCTGCAACTAGTCCATCATCAACATACAGTGCAAGTATGAGTTTCTTTCCTCCCTGTATTCTAATGAACAAACAAGTATCTGCATTGCTTTGTTTGAAATGTCTCTTTTTCAAGAATTCAGCAAAGCGTTTGTTCCAACATCTTGGAGCTTGTTTAAGTCCATAGAGACTTCGCTTGAGTTTACAGACTCTTCCTGAATTATCTTTAAAACCTTCAGGTTGCTCCATGTAAATATTTTCATCTAGTTTGCTGTATAGAAATGCTGTTGACACACCAAACTGCATGAGTGACATCTTTTCATTTGCAGCAACACTTAATAGTGTTCTTATAGTTGAACTTCTGACCATAAGACTATGGGTTTCTTCATAGTCAATTCCCTTTTTCTGAGAAAAACCTTTTACCACTAGCCTGGCTTTAAAACGTTCAACAGAATCCATCTGGATTGTGTTTTACCTTGTAGACCCATTTGCATGTATTGTCTTATGACCTTTTGGAAGACTTACCAAATCCCACGTTTGATTTTCCTTTAATGACTGCATTTAACTGTTCATGGCTTTAAACCATTCATCTTTTTCATCACTTTGAATGGCATCTTTGTAGCTCACTGGTTCAAGTACTTCACATAATGCAGACATAACGAAAGGATCATAACGAGATGGCTTTTTGATATTATTCCTGTCACGTAAAACCTTTGGTCTTTTGATTACAACAGTCAGATTGATCTTCTTCATCAGATGAAACTGAACTACGGTTGTGAACATCTTCATCAGTTGAAATAATTTCTTCAATCAAAGTTTCTTTATTTTCATCTTTGATTTCAACATCAATCGAAACTGTATCATCTGAACAACTTTCTTCTTGCAAAATCACTGAATTTGGTTTGACAACCTTCTCATCAAAAATAACATCTCTTGATCGATGCATTTTAACACGTTTCTTATTC